TAGACACACACAAATCAGTAGCAGTGGTATACACCAATGGTGATCAAGCTGAGAATCAAATTGAAAACTCAATTTCATACATGGCAGCAGTCAAAAATATAGGAATATATTTAACCAAAGAGGTGAAAGATCTCTACAAGAAGAATTACAAAAACACTGATGAAAGAACTTGTAGAGGTCACAAACAAATGGAGAAGCATCCCATGCTCGTCATGGATTGGAAAAATCAGCATTGTTAAAATGACTATATTATCTAAAGCAATCTACAGATTCAACGCAATCCCTATCAAACTGCCAATGTTATTTTTCACAGAATCAGGAAAAAAAATCCTAAAATTCATATGGAACCCTAAAAGCAATCCTAAACAAAAAGAACAAAGCTGGAAGCATCACATTACCTGTTTTCAAGTTATACTACAAGGCTGTAGTAACCAAAAAAAGCATGGTGCAATAAATCCCTTACATACTAAGGAGTTCCATTCCGAGAGCACATTCTTAAGTCCAATTTGTTCATTAAGTCCAACAAAGTTAGACTAAGGACCCAACACAGTTGGCTATATAGTGCTGTACTGTAATAGATTGATAACACTTTTCACAGAAAATGCTCAACGCCACTAATCATCAGTGGAATGCAAATCCACAATGAGATACCACCTTAAAATAGTAAAATGATAGGTGCTAGCACAGATGCAGAGAAAAGGGAACGCTTATACACTGTTGGTAGGAGTGTAAATTAGTACAACCTCTATGGAAATCAGAATAGAGATTTCTCAAAGAACTAAAAATAGATCTACCATTTGATTCAGCCATATCAGTACTAGGTATCTACCCAAAGGAACAGAGGTCATTATATAAAAAGGACATGTTCGTCACAGCACAATTCACAATTTTAAAGATGTGTAATCAACCTAAATGCCCATCAACTGATCAGTGGATAACGAAAACATGGTATATAGACACTGTGAAATACTTTTCACCATTAAAAAGAACGAAATTATATCTTTTGCAGTAACTTAGATGAAATTGGAGAACATCTAAGTGAACTAACTCAGGAACAGAAAACCAGACACTGTATGTTGTCACTTACAAGTGGGTGCTAAACTAAGGATCCGCAAAAGCATAGAGAATGGTATAATGGACACTGTAGACTCAGAAGGGGAGGGAAGGGATGAGATATCACCTATCGGGTACCATGTGCACAGGTGGGTGTGATGGGTACACTTAAAGCCCAGACTTCTCAGCCACTATACAATGTGACCATGTCACCAAAAACTATTTGTATCCCCTAAAGCTATTTTTTAAAAAAGGAAAAAAAATTCTTACCTTGAGAATTAAATTAGGTGACAAATAGTGCTTAACATATTGTCTGGAACTTAGTAATTGTAACAATGATCATTATGTATGAATTTATAATGTCTATAGTATGTCAATAAATGTTGAGACTAAAGTTAGTAAAAAGTTCCTGAAACTATATGGCAAATATATAAGTAGTGTAAGAGTCATTTAAGCCTTTCAAAAGCTTAACCCAAGTAAATTCAGTAGAGTAAACCCAGTAGAAATTCATAACCAATGGGAAAGTGTAAGTACCAAGAGAATCCAGTTGAAGGAGGGTATTTGGGAATGTGTAGATGAACAGCACAGGTAAGAGGTTTATTTTGCTAAGTGGGACATTCATAAGGCTTTTTCTTTTTTGAGTCAGAGTCTTATTCTGTTGCCCAGGCTGGAGTACAGTGGCATGATCACAGCTCACTGCAGCCTCTACCTCCTGAGATTAGACAATCCTTCCTCTTCAGCCTCCCGAGTAGCTGGGACTACAGGCGTGTGCCACCACGCCTGGCTAATTGTAGAAACAGGTCTTGCTCAGGCTGTTCAGACTGATCTCAAACTCCTAGGCTCAAGCAATCCTCCTGCCTCAGCCTCCTAAAGTGCTGGGATTTTAGGTGTGAGCCACTGCACCCAGCCTATAAGGCATTTTCAAAGAAAGTCCAAATGGCCCCAAATAAATGACACCATTTGTTTCATTTAAGCTTTCATTCTTCCTGTGCTATACTCTCAGAGACAAGGAAAAAAGCCTTAGCCCTGGCGGGGCTCAGTGGCTCAACCTATAATCTCAGCACTTTGGGAGGCTGAGGCAAGTGAATTGCCTGAGTCCGAGGGTTTGAGACCAGCACAGGCATCTTCGCAAGATGAGGTCTGGGAGTGTGGTGGAGGTCAGGCTTTCACTTTGTGAAGAATCCCCAGAATGTGTTATACTCTGGCAGTTTTTCCCTATTCATCCAGACCAGTGGTTCTCAAACCAATTGCCTCAGAATCTCCTGTAGGACTTGTTAAAACACAGATCATGGGGCCCCTCCCCCAGAGTTTCTGATTTGGTTGTTCTGATTTGGAGTTTGAGAATTTGTCTTTCCAGTAAGTTGCTAGAGGATGCCAAGGCTTCTGGTCTGGGAACCACCCTTAGAGAACCACTGTCCTTGCCATTTGCAAACAACAGATGGACTTGTTCACAGACCTCTCATTCTAGGGCTCTTCCTTGGAATGCGGAATAGGGAGCAGAGGGTCTCAGGATAGATACTGGCCACTGCATCCAGCCTGTAAGGCATTTTCAAAGAAAGTTCAAATGGCCCCAAATAAATGATACCGTTTGTTTCCATTTAAGCTTTCATTCTTTCTGTACTGTACTCTCAGAGACAAGTAGAAAAGCCTTAGCCCTGGTTTTAAGAGACCACCATTGAGTGTTCTCTTAAAAATGTCCCTTCCCTTTGTGACATTTTAATTCTGATTGAATGAATTGGAGATGAGCTTTGAAAGCATCCTTGAAGAGGAAAAGATGTCAGATATAGCCGACAGCCAGACAACCTGGGGCCAGGGGAAGGAATGGAGACCTACGCAGAAGGGAAAAGAGAACATTTGTAATTAATGATGGTTGACTTCCTAGGATGGCGGTGGGGGTGGGTATGTGAGCCTCAAGTCTTTGGTTGGTGGTTTCAGGTTGTTTATTGCTGGGGGTGGGAGGAGGTGAGGAGTAACAAGTGTCACACATTTTCAACTTTGGCCACCTTTTTTGTATAATATCCAGCTACTAGTCATTGTGAAGGACTCCATTCATTGCTTAAAAGCAATTGTGTGTTGAGAGACTCATTAAAAAGTTGTCTTAATGTCTTGTCCAGCTGTGTGTTTCTGGCCTTGGATTTATAGTTTCCTAGGCACACCTAGCTCTTGGCTGACTTTTAAGCAGTATTTCTCGTATTTACTCTGGTACAGGAGGAAATCTGTTGCATTTTTACCTCGAGGAAAAATACATCAAAATAATGTTACCTTTTTTAAAAAAAACTACACTAAAATGAGCTTAGATTATGTAAACTTAAGACTTAATGGAACTCTTAAAAATCTCATTTAATATTGGTTGACTGAACAATCACCCAAAAGGCTTGCCATCTAGCAGAATGAACATCTAGGCCAATAGCACATAATTAGCTGATTGTTTTAAATTATTTGGGAGCCCATAAGTGTTGTATTTGATTTAACAAAGGTCAGGAAAAACACAGTTACAGTGCCTGAAACATCCATTTTTGGGAAACAAAGATTATATGCAAAATAACCCAAATTTATAGGAGTAAAAAGAATGCTATTCTATTTTTTGTAATAAATATTAGTAGCATACTTTATTTTTTTTCTGGTTGTAAAATAACTTTATAGTCATTGTTGAAAATTCAAGAATACCTAAAAATGCTTAGAAGAAAACAAAAATCCCCTATGGTTTTTATCACCTGGTGGAAAACCACAGCACTTGGGTATTCTCTTTATCTTTTTTCTAGGTCTTTTTATTCTAATTTTTTTTAAAGTTAGAATACTACTGTTTGTACAATTTTATTATTCCTATATTTTTTGTATGAAGTAACACATATATTGGTTAAAAGTCAGATCGTATTTGAGGGCATAAAAAACAAAAAAGGCTGGACTCGGTGGCTCAGCCTGTAATCCCAGTGCTTTGGGAGGCTGAGGTGAGTGGATTGCCTGAGCCTGTGGGTTCAAGACCCGCCTGGGCAACTTGGTGAGACCTCATCTCTACAATACATCAAAAATAAGCGTGATAACGCGCGCCTGTAGTTCTAGCTACTTGGAAGGCTGAGGAGGAAGGATCGCTGGAGCCCAGCAGGTCGACACTGCAGTGACCTGGGAGCGGCCACTGCACTCCAGTCTGGGTGAGAGTGAGACTCCAACTCAAAAAAAAAAAAAAATCCCAAAACAAAGTCCTTACTTTAGCCCTAATTCTTGTTCTCCAGGGCAATCACTTGCAACTTTTTGAACCAATTATAGTGTTTATAGCTATGTTTCTAAATATGCTTTGATCGCCTCTGTGATTTATCAAGAATGAGGTCAACAATTTATTTAAATATTTCTTTATTATGGAGCATTTAGGATGCTTGAAAAGTTTAACTTCTATGGACAATATGTCAGTTAACATCCTTCTAGACACAACATTTGCTTTGCACTTCTGATTTTGTTCATGATGAATTTCTCGAAGTGTAATTGCCAGTCAAAATTGCCCAATTGCCATAAAGAAAGTTTACACTCAGTGTTTTATCCAGAGACTAATTTTTATGTGGTTAAATATGTCAATATTTTTTGCTTAGTTTCTTTGCTTTTATGCTCAAGAAGAAAAACTTCTCCGCCCCAAGATCAAATAAATATTCATCTAAGTTTTCTTCCAGGTATCATGTGATTTCATAATTTTATACTAAAGTCTTTGATCTAGCTGAAGTTTATTTGGATCTGTAACAAGATACAATTTTTTTTTCTCTTTCCAAAATATTATCCCTTTGCTCCACAACTATTATGACTAGTCTTCTTTTCCCACTGATTTGAAATGTTAACTTTACCATCTATTAAGTTGTTATAATTATGTTCTGGGACCTGTTTTGGAAGGAGGAGGAGGTAGGGGTGGTGGTAGTTAGGGAAAAGAGGGATTTCTGTTGAATTAATTTGGTTTTTTTTTTTTGTTTTTTTTTTTTGAATTTCTGAAGCAGTTTATTACTAGTATCTGAAAACCACTGGCCTGATCACAAATACAAAACCGTCAATCTCAGAGGATGCTTACATTTATTTAGTAAAGCAGAAAAATGAGAAGGCAGGACAGTTGGCAAGGATTTGTAAGTAGACCTTGGCCCCGGAGAGGCAGGTGGATACTGGTGGAGATCATCCTTTTAGTCCACTGCCTCTCCTCTTGGCAATGTGAATTCAGTCTTGAGCAGGACGTAATCTTTGATTCATTTAACAAATACTGAGCAGCCTCCTATGTGTCAGCTTACATGAATCATCTCCAGCACACTCAATCCATATCAGTAAATAAGAGATTAAAGTTTTGGTTCTGGTATCTGTCCATCAGCAATGACAGGTCCTCACTCTTACGGAAAAGCACAAGTCAGCTTGGCCTCTCAAAGTTGCAGGTTAATAGTTCTACAGCAAACACAAAGGTTATCTGCAGACAGAAATGGCTGGCCAAGGGACCATACCATGTGTGCATGTTAAAAGTCTGGTGGATCCAGAGAAGAGATACCTATCAGGGAATCAAATGTAGCCAGCATACATGCTAACACAAATATCCAAGCAAACCTACTCAGATGAGTCCCTTCAAACACTCTTTATAAAGGTTTCCTCATGTTATTTACAATTTCAAAGTAAATTTACTTTATAAGCAGCTAGGGAATTCTTTATTTAGTAATGTCCTAACATAAAAGTTCACATAACTGCTTCTGTCAAACTATGATACTGAGCTTTATGACAACCCAGAAATAAGAACTAAGAGAAGGCAAACAATGCCTTAGAGATCAAGAAACATTTACACAGTTCAACTGTTAAAAATAGTTCAACATTCAGTTAGTGAGCAGAGTGTGGATGTCAGTATACACAGTACACAAGTCTTCAGGGAGGAGAGAGACCTTTTGTCTGTTCTTCAGATGCCTCCAAATGCTGGTCCTGCGGAACCTCTTTCTTAGGCTGGTTTTCTTCCAACTCAGTTTGGGGTGTGACACTCATGTTTTCAGATTTCCAGGAAACGTGACTACCTGCCTGAGTCTTTGCTTCTCCTACACGTCTTAAAATGACACCTTCTGCCAATAAAGCTTTCACTGTTTCCACAAATAATTTTTCCTCATTTGTTTCTCCAAGTTTCTGCAGCTCAATGTACTTCTCCACAAACCGTTGACAGACAGACTTGAAGTTTGGATTGAACAGATCAAAAGCCTTTTGACCAGATCCATAGGCTGAATAAAATTTCGCTCTGATCCGATCCTCGTGGTACCAGATGTCCTGGATGGGAGATTTGGCTTTGCCATACCGCAAGCGGGGCCTTCGGAAGACCGGCTCCCTCAGCAGGGGAAAAGCATTATATATATCATATCAGAGGGGCTTCTCCTTCAACACCCCAACCCGAATCAGGTCCTGAGTCCGCGAAAATATGCTCCCCACGGTCTCCAACCGGCTGCCTGCCATGGCCAGCGCCTGAGACAGAACGTTACAAGTCACTACCCTGGTTTTTTTTTTTACCAATACAAAATTATTTAAGTTAATTAAATATAATACAGTTTGATACTGATCTTTCCATTATGTGATAGTATATCACTTTTTCTTCTCTTTTCTTTTTCTTTTATTTTCTGAAAAGTTTTAAAAATATAAAAGATAGGCAAGGCACGGTGGCTCAAGCCTGTAATCCCAGCACTTTGGGAGACCAAGGCAAGAGGATTGCCTGAGACTTTGTCTCTACAATAGATAGAAGATAGATAGATAGATAGATAGATAGATAGATAGATAGATAGATAGATAGATAAATTAGCTGGGCGTAGTTCCACCTACTTGGAAGGCTGAGGTGGAAGGATTGCCTGAGCATAGCAGGTCAAGGCTGTGGTAGCTGTGAGCAGTCCACTGCACCCCAGCCTGGGCAACAGAGTGCGACCCCAATTCAAAAAATACACACACACACACACACACACACACACACACACACACAGTTCCATATAAAATTTTTATAAGATAATAGGGGAAATAGTGGCTTTTTCTGACTTCAACATTTCCTCTTAAAATTTTCAATTGGCTGGGCACAGTGGCTCATATCTATAATCCCAGCTGAGGTAAGAGGACTGCCTGAGCCCACGGGTTTGAGACCAGCCTGAACAACCTGGACAACTTGGCTCATTGTTCATCTCTACAATAAATAAATAAAAAATTAACCAGTGTGGTGGCGCATGCCTATAGTTCCAACTACTTGGAAGGATCACCAGAACCCAGCAGGGTGAGGCTGCAATGGCCATGAGTGCGCCACTGCACTCCAGCTAGGTGACAGAGTGAGATTCCAACTCAAAAAAAAAAGTCATTAATTGTTCAGACTACCTAGTGCAACTCAATCAATATGTTACAACCAAGTAATCAATATGTTACAACCAAGTGAGGAGTAGTTTTGCTGTGTTAGCATTCTTGTAAACTTTCCTTATATATAGAAGTCTAACTCCAACATGTTTACTCTTGGAACCATCTGCCCAATGCAACAATCTGTTTTCTCTTGAGTTGTTGACATTCTAAGGAATTAAGAATAGAATCTAACCTTTATTAAATTCTTACTATGGCAGGCATAGTTCCTAAGCCTTTTACATGTACTAATTTAAGCCTCCTAACAACCCTGAAGATAAATGCTGATATTATCCCCAGCATATAAAATGTACACATGAGGAAACCCCGTACACAAGAATTAATTAACTTGACGAGATGATCCAGCTCATAAGCAGTGGAGTCAGAATCCAAACTCGAGCAGCCGAGACTCATGTTCTTATCATGCTTTTTGAAAACTCTTTGATGAATTGTGGCACTGTCATTCTACCTTTTTTCCAACCTCCTGAACGTCATACATAGCAACTTTTGGGTGCTATTTTGTAAATAGTAAAAACCACATCACATAAAATTTGCTACCGTAACCATGAAGTGTACTGTTAAATAGTGTTAACTCTTTTCACATGGTTGCACAACAGGTCTCCAGAATTTTCACCTTGCAAAACTGAAACCCTGTATCTATTGAACAACAATTCTCCATTTCTCCCTCTTCTCAGTCACTGGCAATCACTGTCCTGCTCTGTTTCTATGAGGCTGAATACTTCACATATTGTATGATCCCACTTACACGAAGTATTTGTCTCTTGTGACTAGATTTCACCTTGCTCCATACCTTCGGTGTTCATACATGTTGTACCACGCGACAGAATCTCCTTCTTCTTTGGGGGGGGCACTGTATAATAATATTTCACTGTATGAATAGAATTCATTCTTCATTCATCCATTGATATACATTGTGGGTCGCTTCCACCTCTCAGCTACTGCTGCAATAAACACAGGCATGCCGGGTCCCCCTTTCAATTCTTTTGGATATATACCCAGAAGTGGGATGGCTGGATCCGATGGTAATTCTATTTTCATTATTTTCGAGGAATCTTCAAACTTTCCTCCATAGCGGTTGCATCATTTTACATTCCTACCAACGGTGCCTGTGTTCCGATTTCTCCATCTCTTTGCCGGCTCTTGCTATTATCTGTCTTTTGGATAGTGGCCATCCAAATGGGCTTGAGGTGATATTTCATGGTGGTTTAATTTTCATTTCTGTAATGATCAGTGATGTTGGACATCTTTTCATGTGCTTGTTGGCCATCTGTATATGTTCTTTGGATAAATATCTAGCCGAGTTCTCTGCTCATTTTTATTTTGATTTTTGATTTTTGATTTATTTCTTTTTTTGAGTTGGAGTCTCACTCGGTCGCCCAGACTGGAGTGCAGTGGCCGCTCCTGGCGTCATGCTGGGCTCCGCGATCCTTCCGCCTCAGCCTTCCAAGAAGCCGGAATTACAGGCAGGCGCTACCACACCCGGCTGATTTTTTGATTTATTGTAGAGATGAGGTCTCGCCGCCCAGGCGGGTCTCGAACCCGCGGGCTCAGGCAATCCACTCACCTCAGCCTCCCAAAGGCGCGGGATGACAGGCTGAGCCACCGAGCCCGGCTCTCTGATCATTTTTAAAAACAAGTTATTTGGCTCTTAAGTTGTAGAAGTTTTATGTATTCTGGATATTAACACTTTATCAGATACATGATTTGCAAACATTTTCTCACATTCCACAGGTTGCCTTTTCATTCCACCAGTTACTTTCTGTGATGAGCAGTTTTTAAGTTGGATGTAGTCCCATTGTCTATTTTTGCTTTTGTTGCTTGTGCTATTTCCATCTCAGTTGCTGAAGCACATTCTATTTGTTTGGGGGAAAGAAATACATTAAAACCTTTTTAAGAACATGGTGAAATGCATTTTGAACACCTTAGGAAATTTCTTGAAATATATAGCATGGAAATCTTAAAACTTAATGATTTCTACTCTTTGATATCTGGTCACAGAAACACCCATTAAAATAACTAAATCTAGCCTTTCTTTTACAGAGTAGCATACCATGTGATGCTGAAACACAAAGAGTTGATTTCTTAAACATAACCTAGCACTGAAACAACGCAACAGAAATAAATGTAAACCTCTACCGTGATCTGGGAGCCCGCAGGGCTGTGATGGGCAAGTCCCAGAGCCCTGCCTGATCTGACTGTTTCCCAGAGACTGACATGAGATGTATATTTAAATTTTTTCAGCTGCTGCAAATATTGTACATCCCAACTAAGGGGAAAAAATTAAACCATTAAATAAGATCTACAGTGGTTCTGAATCTGTGTGGTCCTGGAACCACTCACATTAGCTCATTAGAAATGTAAACTTGGGCATTGCTTTGTTAAACTCTGGTGTGGTCACGTGGCTCTTTGAGCACTGGCCAGGCCAGGTTTCCTGGCTTTGGCCCCCTTTCTTACTTTGGGGAGGTGAATCTCTTCTCTCTCTCTCTCTAACTTACTTTCTGAATAAACCATATTTTCCAATCTGAAAAAAAAAAGTAAACTCGGTCCCCATCCCAGGTCCACTGAATCAGAAACTCTGGTTATGGGACCCACTACTTTTAATAGGCCCTCTAGGAAGGGGTCCCCAACATTTCTGGCATCAGAGACAGGTTTCATGGAAGACAAATTTTTCCAGGGATAGGGGTGAGGGAGAATAGGATGGGGTGAGTGGGGGTATCATCATGCATTAGATTCTCATAAGGAGCATGAAACCTAAATCCCTCGCTTGTACAGTTCATAATAGGGTGAACTATGAGAATCTAATGTCACCACTGATCTGACAGAAGCTCTGCTCCTGTGCTGCTCACCTCCTGCTGTGCAACCCAGTTCCCAACAGGCCACGGACCAGTCCGCGGCCCTGGGCTTGGCGACCCCTGTTTTAGGAGGTTCTGATGCACACTATGGTTTGAGAACTATTGCTTTAGTTTGTGGCTTAGCTTGGTCTATTTTGTCTAGACTCATTGAGACTTCTTTTTTTGTGTGATCTTGGTAATAATAGGATTTCCCTACATTTGAGAAGCAGCATACAGAGACAACTTTCCAAATATGACATCTAATGAACAATCAGACAATGACCCCCTTTGTAGCAAAACAGAGTACAAAAGTTGTCTATGTATTTTTAGAATACAAGAAGAAAATTTGAAAACGTTTTTAGGAAAACAAACCAACTGAAAAAGATCCATTCTCTTTGATCACTAGATTTAGATGATTGGTCTATAAATAACAACAAAAAGAAAAAATAATAGTTTAAGAGTAGAGCTACAAAGTTGACTAATATTATCTGTGGCAGTCTAAGGAGAACATAAAATGGCCATTTTCCAGCTAGAAAGAGGATATTTTAAGAAGGGGGCTACCTCCAGTCAAATAAGAGGGCATCTTTGCTCTCGAGACAAGGGCTATCCCACACCATGGGCAGCTGCAGTGATTGAGGGAGTGCAGTGATCTGGAGAAGGCTGTCTGCTACACAGGGGTGGGGGCACCTGGTACAGGTCATGTGGGTGGCTTGAAGGCTCCAGTCACAGCCACCGCCTTCACAGGGTCTCATGAAATCTACCTTCCCTGTTGGAGACATTCCACATTCACTTTTGTGGCGGTATAAATCATGCTGAGAAACTGGGCTTCCCTATCCAGGTGCATTTTTACACTCCTGAGGAATGTGCTCAGTTTGGAGGGCTCTTCACAGTTTTCAGATTACAATGCCACACTTTCTAAGGCAGCGTTCCTCTGCCTTGGCACCACTGACATTTGGGGCTAGATATTCTTTGTTGTGGGAGCCTGTCTTGCGCATTGTTGGATATTTAGCTGCATCCCCGGCCTCTAACCACTAGGTGCCAGTAGTAACCCCCCAATTGTGAAAAACAAAATTGCAGCCATTGCAGAATATCCTCTGGGAGGGATACAAAACTCCCACTCCCCCAAATTGAGAATCACTGCTCTACTTCCTCACTTCCTCTTTTTTTATTGAGGGGGGGCAGAAAAATACTTTCCTGCTGTTCTTTGTCTTCATTAAGACCATCACTCCTCTGATTCCTGCCATTTTTCCTTATTTTACCCCTCCACACATTCCCCCAGCACTCCTCCCCGCCCCCCCCCCACAGGGTCTTTACTTCTTTCC